CGGGGTCCTTTCCCGGGGGTAAAGCCGGCCGGGGCGTGATGCTGACCACTCACCCCCATCTAGTGCCGAGGTTAAGAATGAGTAGGAGCTACATCACCTCTCACCCCAAACGCCTACATGGCGTACAGTGGGACAAACTTTACTTTACATAGGAACTTGAACCCTGAAGGTGGAGGCAGTAAACAATTTGAATTACCTGCAAGTCCACGTAGTTTTACTATCCAGAAGACAAGCTGTCATCATTGCTGGTTTGAGAATCTCTAATATCACAATAGAATTTATTAGACCATTTGAAATTGGCGCCAAATTCATTTGCCGGTAGATAGCGCGCTGATTGTTGTGGCTGTGTCTAGAGCAGTTCAAAGCCTATTGGTGGCCATGCAGCGTTGGTCGTGTATTTGCTGTGGAGAGATTTTTTTAAAAAATAATGATTCAGCTACTCAGACACAACGTGAATATACGCGGCGCTTTAATACTGGAAGAAATGGTAAGGTTCCGACGCGTCAAACTATTTTAAATTGGTGTTAGGAGAATGTTACACGTGGATTTGCACTTTCATCCATTCAAAATTCAAATGGTGCAAGAATTACTGCCTCGTGATTTGAATATGCGAAGGGAATTTTGCACCAAGCTATTGGAAATGATTGACACACCACCGCAATTTCTTCAGATGAAGCCCATTTTCATCTAAGCGGGTTTGTTAATAAGCAGAATTTGGCGCGACATCTCACACACGGCACGAATGTCAATGTAAACAGTTCGAGAAATGTTCCCAGGACGTCTCACCTCGAGAAATGGTGATGTCGCTTGGCCTCCACGCTCGCCAGATTTATCCCCGTGTGACTAATTCTTATGCGGCTATTTAAAGCACAATTTCTACGATAATCGACCTCACACCATTGACGAGTTGAAGGAATCCATCAGGACTACCATTCTGCAAATTCCATTGGAAATGCTGAGGAAGACAACGAACTCTCTCTCAGGCGACGTACAGAGGATTGTTTGCAGAACAATGGAGCTCAATTGACTAATGTTGTCTTTAAAAAGTAGTTATCACATGGCATATTTTTCTACAGACTTCACAAATCTCTAAGTGTTTATTATATTAACTGAAAATAAATTACCCATTTCACAAATTTAAATAGTCTAATGTATTCTGCCGCACCCTGTATATAGTGACCAAAGTTATCATTCAGTTTCGTTAGATCCCATTTCATAGAGATTAAACATTGCTGCTGAGTGGTTAGCTCTCCCTTCATATCTGGGAGGGACTTGGATTCAGATGTTGGCCTGGAGACTGGCTACCATGATCATTTTCCTCATTCCCTCCAGGCAAATGCTAGGATAATACTGCAGAATAGGTCTTTTGTCTTGTCATTGGTTTTCTCTTACATAATACAATTTTACAACTTGTCAGAAAAATAAATTTTGTTCATGGATCAGCATTTTTGGCTTGTACATAGACGATAATTTGATTAAATCCAACTTCAGTCACATTTCTTTATTATTTCTACAATCGTAAATATGTTTAGACAATTAACTGTTATTACTGCCACATTATTGTTATTTAAGACAATCTTACATATTCCGTCTAAGATATAACCTCAAAATGTTACATGTTTAAAGGAACAGCTGATAACATAAGTCCCCTTTTTACGACGAAAGGATAGTACGGTAGACGCTAAATAATTCCAAGCTCGAGTTACGTCACAGTAAGAGGTGAAGGAGAGCAAGACGGCAGAGTCTGAGTAAGAATGAGTGGAAAGAAGAAAGAAATCCCCTTATAATTTTGTTGCACTGGCTTCCACAATGAACTGTATTTTGTATAGAAATATAGGTGCATACCTACACCCCGACGTACTATTTCTGAGTACAAACAATAATTTCGGGTTCGATGATGTTAGGAAAGAATGGCTTGTTTTTAAGCTTCATAATCTCACAACCCCTCCCCCCTCACTTCTGTGTATTCTTGTAACAGTCAATGAACATCGAAGTTATTTTGCAGGCTAAAAATTCTGAAAATATGACACCAAAACTGTGAGCTGAAGATGCAAAGTCAGTGACTGGCTACAAATTGAACGACGCTGACACTCACCCCATCTAGTGCCGAAGTCAAGAATGAGTAGGAGCTATACCTGCTCTTTCCCCCCGCCCCCTCCGAAGCGCTAAATTTCCTGAAAAATTAACACCGTATCACTGGCATTGTTACTGTTCGTAACAGGAAGTGTTATAAATAGACGTCGTCTGACGGATGGTATTTTAAGAAGAAACTTTGCTATTATGTTTCTCAATAATGCCAAAAGCTTGTCCTTCAATTCACATTACTTTGAATACATTTTAATAAACTGTGGTTTACTAGTGTATCTCTGTATAGACCAGTAGAGGGGAATTATTATAAAACGGTGACAACTGTTTCCCCCATAAAAATTACCTACTAGTGATCAAACTTCACGGAGAGTTTCTGATTTATTACCAAGGCATAAGAATCGTGGTCTACGCTGACGCCTTGTGTGCTAACACGAGCTGTGTAGGACGTTTATGATTCATATCACGTAGACAGTTTCGGAGAAATATGTCAACCCAGAAAACCACGATCCTCATTTCACCCCTGTGAACTTCTCAAATAGAAATTGTTTCTTATAGAGTTTTGACTGATCGCCTTTTTTTTTCTTTTCTGTGGAGGTTTAAATGTTGTATCCGATTCCCACACCCACCTCCATATATTCGGAAGCAGCTACCATTTTTAAAAAAATAAATGTAAGGATTGTCATTTCTGTTAAACTTGTCATTGAACTAATCAATAGGACACGTATAATATGAGAAAATATTTAATTACACTAAGTCGGATATTGTTCAATATTAACATATTATGCACTGTGTCACAGATTCAAATTAACGCAATTGACAAAGGAGAGGGGACTGGATATAAAAGTGCAGGTTGTCTGTGGAATAGACTTGATAATACCGATGTATGTATTTCGGAGTTCTGTGGGTAGTAATAATCACAGATGACAATTCTATATGTCATGGCAATATATTTATTTTATTTATAATGTGTGATTTATTACTATGATTCATGATTTCAAGAAATCATAGAACCGATCAAACGATTGTTTTCTTTCATATATTTTTTTCTGTAAAACTTTATGCATGCCAAACAATAACATGGGCTTACTCAAGACCTTTCGCACTTAGTATATGGTCCATACTCAATTGTAGGTATTCTATGGAATCGGAAATTCAAATACCTGGTATGTGGCGGCATCTTTTGATAATAACGAAAAATAATATACTGTTTGTCGTTTGTCACCTTTTTTGTGTTGCAGAGTAGATGTAATGGCTTCCCAAAGTAATTAGTGGATGAATAATTAACAATCATATTGCGGGTATTGATCCTGATTATTTTGAAGTTATGTGTTGTGAGTGTTATAAAGAGTGAAGCCAACCAACACACTGCTTACTTATCTTCAGTCTTAAGTAGCCAGGTGAGAATGAATTTGTTTTTGAATTATAATTGGGCGTTCTGACTGGTATTTTGTAATTAAGAGAAGATATCAATTATTGCTCGATATTATATCAACTTTGATGAAGGTGCTTTAAACACCGCGAAAAAGTCATTTGTGGCGTTTATGAATTGGAAGTAAGGTTAAGGCGGCAGTAACAGTAGAAAGTGGCTTATATCGTTAATAATTTTCAGGCGATTAGCACAACTTTTGTTATTAATACGTTTCATCATTATTTGTTTTCCTGAAATGGCCCCATATATTGCAGTTTTAGCCAATTTATTTATGGTTTGGTATTGGTGCCATTGTTATAAGTATGAAGTACCAGTACTTATTTCAAGAAGCTCAAAGGAGGTTTGTTTTCACTTGAATGAACTTGAAAGTAGAAATAATTTTCACCTGTCAAATCTTATTCATCACTGATTCTGATACAGTGCTTCTGACATAATACTATGTTCTTATGTTGTGTTAATTTTGAAATTTTAAGGACATTGCATTTGTTACCATTGTCAGACCCAAAACATGTACAGATTTGTAGTGAGTTAGTGAATCAGAATCAGGATTTATTTCAGTGCTTTATTTGTTCAGTATTTGCAGTTATGTCTAGGAGTGTGGAAAGTGGCAATGTTCACCATTTCTTATTCATTCTGACTGGATTCTTATTCATCCTGTATACACTTAAAATTATAAGTAGTTCCTCTGTTCCAAATCCAGTACAGAAGAATCATGTGAACTCCAGATTAAGGTTATAGCTTAATAATAACATTTTTGACCACACATGACTGTATCATATCGTGAACTGACATTCATTTGGTCTCTGTGAACTGGAAAAAAGGTGTTCTTTATTTCTCCACTTCATTACAGTTACTGAGATATGCAGTTAGAATGTTATCAGTTGTCTTTGTATGTTGTAAGTCATAGGGAGTAGTATTTTATCTGAATTGCTTGACTGGGATGAACTTAAAGTAGGTTTAAAGTTTGTGTTAAATCCACTGATCAGAAATCAAAAGTATGTGGGTTTTTTTATATGTTATCCACATGAGATCACTGTACTTGTAGTCTTACAGTATACTTCAAAATATTTTGATACTTTAGATGTATGTTAAAGTCAGTGAACAAAAGTGTAACTTTAGATGTAGTATGTTAAAGTCAGTGAACAAAAGTGTTGCATGCTTTCACAGCCACATACATGATGACAAATTATTCCTGTTATATTTCTGAGAATAGAATATAATATATTTACATTCCATAGATCCTTTATTGGCCCAAGCCAAGTATGTAGAACATATCATAACATAAATACAATACCTGTTTCTAATATAAATTACACACATGTTGTTCGAATGGCAGATGAAAGAAAGACGAAACAGTTTTTGGAAGCTAGATTTGAGGGTATCAGAACAAGAGGAAGACCTAGAAAGAGCTACTTGGATACTATTAGAGAAATAGGACAGGCAAAGGGGACGCAGATGAAATTCTTAGCAAGGGATAGGAAGGAATGGAGGAGGTGCACCGAGCAATCGACCCCAACGCTATAAAGGCAAAAATGGGAGATGAGAAAGAAGAAGAAGAATATAAATTACGCAGTTATGACAGTAATTTACATTCAGCTACAGTATTATCACAAAAATAATCATGCAAGAAAGCATACCCACTATTGCTTACATGTATTTATAATAGGTAAGAATTTTTGTTTGATGCAAATTCTTATGTGGTGCAGAACGTGTTGAGATTCAAATAATAGCACCTATTCAGATTAGGACGTTATAAAACATGGTGTTCCTCAGGTTCAGTACTTGGTACTCTGATTTTCCTCTATATGTATCAATGGTTTACCACCAACCATTAACTCTCAGTCTAAACCCATCATTTTTGTGGATGATACTGGCATTACTGTTTCACATACATAATAAATTGACTGTTTTCTAAAGTCCATGAACGATGTTTGAACAAATGGATTGAAGTCAGAAAACTCACATTAAATTTTGACAAAACAAATTTGATGAAATTTTGTAATACCAACAAAAAATTGTGGATAAAACAGTCGAAGAAGTAGAAATGACTGTGTTTCTTGGCCTACAGATTGACAATAATTTAAACTGTGAAATACATTCGATACATTATCCCAAAACTAACCTCGGCACACTCTGCTAGGAGGACTGTCTCATCACTCATGAAGACAGAAACTTTAAAATTAATATACTTTGCTTACTTCCAATCAGTCATGTCATATGAAATTATTTACTGGAGAAACTCAACAGACAGCAGAAAAGTATTTTACTTTGACCACATAAATAACTTTCAAACTTTGATACACACAATACAAGTACAAGATACAGATATAACTTTCATGTGCCAAAAATTCAGTAAATATCTGGAATTAAGCTATTCAGTAATCTTCCCCTACTATAAAATGTCTGAATCAGGATATAATGAAATTTCTACTCCATAGAAGGATTTACCTCAACCAAAAGTTCTTACCTGTTATAAATACATGTAAGTAATTAGTGGGTATGTTCTCTTACCTAATTATTTTTGTGATAATGCTGTAGTTGACTGTAAATTACTGGCATAAGTATGTAATTTATAACCATATTAGAACAGGTATTGTATTTGTGTTATGACATGTTATACATCCTTGGCTTAGGCCTATGAAGGATCTGTGGAATGTAAATAAATTGTGTTCTATTATATTATATTCTAAATGTGGTGTTCAGGCATTAAATTCTGCGTTTAGGTCCTGGTAACAATATTATTTCAGTCTCAGTTTCATTTACTAAAATTTATAACTGTTTCCTTTAGCAGAATTCATTCTAATTCTTCTGCAGTGTTAAACACAGATTTTACGTGTGAACTGTTTTTAGGTGAGTTTCATTTTATCTGTCTTCTGGAAAACTGAGATGTGGGTTCCATGTCTCTCTGAACTTTGATACTGAAAGGGACAGGGAGGAGGAGGAGGGGAAATGGAAGAGAGAAAATGTCCGAATTTTTACTCGCATGAACTTTATTAATAAAACATAACCTAATCTGATCTAAAGTGGTCCAAGTCTTTTATGATCAGAAGTATGCTCACTGAGCTGAATACATTATTTTAATTTCACCTCGAAATGTGTGTTTTACAGCAAAAAGCCCAACATATGTAAATTTTTGTTTGTTTGTTTTTTAACTTAAATTTAAAATTAGTTATGGCACATAACATAGCAAACTCTGACCATGTGGAAAAGGTCACAGAGTACAAATTGTGGATCAAGAAATCCATTGACCACCAGTTCTTTAAATTACCATACTTTAATCTTATCAGGGAATTGGTATCATGTGATTGTAATCTACCATTGTCATGACCCATTAGAGTGGAATTTGATTGTGCTAATGGATACTGGGATGAGAATTACGGGTTACGACCGATCATGACATATTTAACTTTGACTTCAGAATACTAATTTGATTGTGGTTGGGGTTTGAATAAAATAATGCTGAATATAAATTAGTGGAGGACGCACCACAAAATGCAGTGTCAAGCAGAGAAGAAATGTGCACATTATTATTCTTTATTTATGCTGACAGTTGCACAACACAGACTACATTCTGCGTAATGTGCGCATTAGTAGTGTGTATTTAGTTTTATGGGATTTCAGTACTAAATATGAGAACTAAGATACTGTTTCAGAATAAAATATGAAGATTGAAGCATAATTACTAAAGATTTATATATATTAACACTTGAGTTACCTGCACACATACTAGGATTCAAACAAAATGGCAGGTGAATAATGATTTGTCACCCTGTGAGAGACTGAGATGTGAGGTTATGATGATGATGCAAGATCTTTCATTTGAACTATGTTCATCTAACTCTATTTGCACGACAGTGTGTTTTTGCATCTTGGCAACACCACACACAAATTCATAATTCTCTGCCTCTCACTTGAGATAATTAATCTCTTGAAAACTTGGGGCCCTGGCTTGTAACTAACTCTGTAGAGCAGAGTCCTTATTGACAGCTGATGGTTTCTCAGATGGTAAAGAAATTTTATGTCTTTTATGAAATATGCATGTTCATTACTCTTGGTGCTGTCCTGACCTGTGTCTTTTAGATATCCTTCCATTTACCCCAGGTCTCCCAAGTGGACATTTTCTCTGGGTATTCTGACTAAAATTTTGTGTGGATTTTCTCCCCCATGAATTTTACATTTTATGCCCATTTCATTCTCTTCACTATGATAACCACAGTAATATTATTGGGCCCTCCATCATTTATTTAATAAATACAATAAAATGTCACTTAAATGAATCAGCCACCTGATACACTTAATTTCTACCCCCCCTCCCCCACAAAAAATTAAATTGTAAAAGTTGTGAGATAATACAGATGGCAGAAGCATAAGGGCTGACTGATGCTGGTTTGGTCCATAAAATATTCCTCAGTAAGTTTTTATTTAGCGTGTTAAACATTTTTGTACACCTGTGTCAAAGTTTTCCTTCCCCATATTTTTAAAAATTAAGCATTTTGGTTTTTAAAAGTTTTATGTTTGTTTTGAGAGTTAGGGAGCATGATGAATAAAAAAACTTGTCTTAGTCACCCTGTGTCACATTTTGAGAAATCCACTTCTTTACTCAGAAGTATAAGTATTTTTATTCTATATATATATTAATATATTTGTCTCTGGAAAACGTGTGAGTGGTGCCATTCTTCTTACCAGTAGTAGAAGGCAGTTTGATTGCATTTGTTAGTCATTGGATGGTATAAGTTATGGGCTTTTATGTTTTTTTTTTAAACAACGGAGGTGGTACCACCCAAGATTTTAGAGGCTTTTTTCTATTTCTTGTTATAATCAAATTGTGATTTATAGGTGAAGCGCACCTCAACATATTTTTATTATTTATTTTGTCTGTATTACATTTCCTCAACATAAATATAAAAATCCAGAAAATTCCAAAATTAAAAAAAGTCTTAGTTCCCAGACATTTTGGATAAGGCTTCC